TTGTTCGTGTAATTGTCTAAGTGTTTTGACTTATTTTTTTAAAAACCATCATACAAATGGTTTTGACATTTACCAGACTGCTATCATATACTGTACTTTTTTTCCAGCTGTTTTTATCAACTTTAGTATTCTAGATCTTTGTGCATTCCAACAAATTCAGATTTACAGTACAGTCTGAGCGTAACTTAACTGCCATGCTGGTTATCAACTCGCTTTCCTATTTCATAAAAAGTGTGTATTATTTTCATCAATAATTTCAACTTATTATTTGTAGTGTTTACCTTGGTTACTCATAGGACACATATTTAGGCAGATTACCCTGGTACTATTTAGATATGTGGCAGTTTTAAAAGCAAGCTAAGCTAGATAAATGTTAAGTTATGCTCAGACTGTGTTGTATGTTCACCTAACAGGATTCCTGTTTAATACCCTATTCCCAATTGTGTTGTGTATTAAATATCCCCTACATCAAATCCATGTCTTAATTCACTCAGCACATTTCTATTTTATACTGTGTTACAGATTGCCTGTGAAACGTGCGTCACTAACAGTGGAGTTATATAAGCTGACAGACTTCTTTTTGAAGATTTTTTGTCTACAATATTTCAGACTTTAATATTCTTCCCTATCAATAATGTGTATGCATAGTAATATTTTTGAGTTTTTCAGAAGCAGCCTGGCTAATATATCACCTTACAGACTGATTGCTTTATACATATCAGATCAAACATACTTACAAAGATTAAAAAAAATTGATTTTTAAATTTGATCCCACCCTTCCTAATTTAATCACAGACACTAGAAAGGAATGGGACGTAATATAACATCTTTCCTCAAAATTCAAAATCATGTCACGTATCAGACACTGCCAATAATCAATGTTTTATAAATTTTTATTCAACAAAGAAAAAAGTTAAATTGAACTGTGAAAAGTACATAGATTACAGTCTGGGCATTACTCAGGGTCCAAGCTAGCTTTGTCTTTTCATAAAAACTAATAATTTTTTAAAGCAAGCATTATAAACATTAATAATTTTAACTTATTTTTTGTTGTATTGTTACTATGTTACTAATATGAGATATATTTTAATAGGCTTTGCACAATTTACATAGGTATCATTTTTGAAAGCTGGCTAAGCTCAGAGCTCAATAAATGCTACACATGGACCATATTGTACAGTGCATACACACAGAAAGATGAAAACTAGAACAATAGGCTATTTTTACCCAACCCAACACAATTACAATTATGTGATTGAAAAAATATTTGATCAGTATTGCATTGATGTAGTATGTCAATTTCAAAAATGTATGACCAGCTACTGGAAAAAACACACACGACACACTGTGATAAAAGAGGCATGTGTTGCACATAAATTGAACACATGATATGGAACATCTGTTGCACGGAACAACAGTCCTTTCCCCGTTGATGTTGCCCACCTCTTTTTTTTTTTGGTACGATTGATTCAGGTCATTCTAAAAGTTAAGATTCCCAGCATGCTTTGGGAATGTCATAACATACATGAAGTTCACATATACATGTACAACTGTTAAATCTAAAATTATACTGTTCTACCTTTGAAGTATTGGTTGTTACAAAGTGATCTGTTTTGAGGATGGCCTCTCTGAATATACTGTATATCAATTTATTTCCAATTCAATGCTTTTTGATATATCATGAGACACCATTTTACAATGTTTGAATATGAAAATATTTTTTTTTTTTTTGTTCTTATTTATCACTATAATGAGCCCATTGTAAACAATGTCAGTTCTGTTTCTCCTACATTAACAGTCTATGTAAACACACAATCCTGTAAAAGGAGATTTTTCTGGTGAGATTACATAAATTCACAAATGCTCGCTGGAGTTGATGGATGTGGTGCCATTATGTCTAAAAAAAGTTAGATACTGCAATTCTGATGCTATCAGGTGAAATATGGTATGTTGGTTTCCATGATATATCACATGCATATTTCAATAAAACTCTCTTACAGTACAAGATTCTAGGGGTGGTTAAAATTATATAAAGAAATTTCTTTGTTTTGGTTGACGTTTGTTAAAGCAGGGTTTATATTTTAATTAAAAGTATGCCTTTTATAATTCAAATCCAGTACTGGTACTGGGTATGTGATTTTAATGGAGGTGTGCCTTTAATCAAATATAGAACTAGGTATGTGATTTTAATGGAGGTGTGCCTTTAATCAAATATAGTACTAGGTATGTGATTTTAATGGAGGTGTGCCTTTAATCAAATATAGTACTAGGTATATGGTTTTAATGGAGGTGTGCCTTTAATCAAATATAGAACTAGGTATGTGATTTTAATGGAGGTGTGCCTTTAATCTTACAATACTGGGTATCTGTTTTTAATGTAAGTGTGCCTTTAATCCATTATACTACTGGGTATATGCTTTCAGTGGAGGTGTGCCTGTAATCAAATCCAGTAATGTCCCATTCAACTTTTAATTTATTGCCTAATCTATACAATACCAATCAGCTATAGTGATAATATTGCCAATGGTCAAGTGAATCATTTTAACCCTTGTACAATCCTATATAAGCTGATAATATACAGCCTCAGGTCAAGGCAACAGTTTTTGTTGAAACAAGTATTATGGCATTTTAGTGCCATAGTCATTAATTTGTTTAAATTTGAATAATTATTAACTTTGGTTTGTATTACATGTTGCAACCTGTTAAAAACTTCAGTCTGTTGTGTTACTACTAAAGAAACAACTCACCATTGATTGAACAATATTTCCACCAATCGCCTTGCTCTAAATCATATAGGGTATCCTGAGGGCGCCATTTATGACTTACTTTGCTTTGCTGGCCTTTGAACCCTACATGGTCACTGTTTAACCAGTGAGAAGGCTTGTTTAATACAAATCTTTTAAATATGTAAATTACTAATCATCTATGTGATATTTTCTTGAGATACTTGAAGTTACAATGAAAAAATATTATTTTGCAAATTCAGTTTTTACAAAGTTTCACTGAATATAGTTAGTCAGATTAGTGTGATTATAATGCAAATTAGGTAATTAATATGCATCGTTGTTAACCAAAAAACTAATCAGGTTCAATGTACCAAATGTACAATGGCAAATGAATAAGCAGTTCTTCAGATATCAGTAAAACAGACGGATGCACAGACGGATGCACAGACGGATGCACAGACAGATGCACTCAGAGCCCCCTCCATTGGTGCGAGTGCAAAAACACCATATCAGATCTTGGGAATTGCTCACCCAAGTAATAGATTACCGTTCAAATTTCCTGTTCATTGATGGAAAAATAAACCATTAAGAATGTGTCTTTAGTCAGAGTTGACAATTATCAAAAGTAATTTCTAAAAGCAAATTACGAGCTATTTATCTGTTGATTACATAAATTAGCATGACAATGCATGGGTTTGTCTTATTTACATACAAATGAATATGAAATGAACGTCTCTTGTACTCATAACAGCAAATAGTTTCCCAATTTGATGTCTTGAAGGGAGCTGACAGTGTTAGTTCTCTACAGCAAAAAAAAATGAGTGTCACAGATAATTTGCATAGAACAATGTAATTTGTTATCCTGCAAGCTGTATTCATTGTTATGGTAATTGTGTTTTATTGTTTATTCACAATTATAGGTTAGTGATGTGGGTCCCTACTCTCTAATGCTCTGGGGATAACCCTGGAGCACTATTAACTGTTTTGTAGTTATAGGTTAGCAATTCTCTTGAATAATTGGCTGATAGGGTGTATTGATCTGTCTCAGCTCTCGTAAGTAACCAAAGAAAGCCTATAGTTATACTGTATTTTTCAAATGCCAAAATCAACTATAGTCACCTTATACAAAATAATAAATTTTTCCATATTTTTAAAATTTTTTTGATCAAAAAATTAACCAAAAACTTTGAGAAAATTGCATAAATATGAGCACAGCATTTTGTCAGTTAACAGTGTTGCTATTAATTTCAGAAGATACAGAGATCTGTGCAAATCACTACAAGTCTGTTCTTTTCAAATTACCCATCATGCTTTTCACCCTGCTACAAACATTTCTGTCTGATACGGTATGTTCATTCAAACCAATCTCCACAGTACCTTTAATATCTGATCATTGAATGCAGTTTGTATCACACTATTGCAGCTAGGAAAATTAATTCAAAATCCCAAAATTTTGATTCGATACCAGCTACATTGTACTAGTAAATATTAAAGCAATAAAATATACTTTTAATATGTGTGCCTTTAGGTAAAATATACTGTGAGAAAGGCGTGGACATCTTTTTTATTTATATCATTTAACAAGTTGAAAACACTATCTGGAAGCTGATGTAACGTCTCACTGACGTACAAAGAATTCCTGTGACGCAACTAAGTTGTACTAATTTGACCGGCGTGTCATTGACGTAACAGAAAAACATACATTGATACAATGATCTTGAAAATCATTTTACTATATTTATGGGATTTGTAATTTAGTGAAATGAAATTCACATTTTACAAACAAAATATGTGTAAATGCGAAAAAAATCAGGGACCACAACATTTTTATTTGCACCTCAAGTCATCTATATTGTCACATATAATTTTATTTTTTCCTCGAAGACCAACTTCACCAGCAATCAACAAGCTTACTCAACTTGATACTGGGGGATTTTATTTTAACTCAAGACTTCTATAAAATCAGTCCTCGCATACATGTAGGGCAGACTGGAGTGAAAAGTATTTACAATAGAAAACAGTCTGCAGAACAGTGTACATTGTTGAACTATTATTGATTTTCCAAACGAAAAACAGGAAATGTTTGATTGTGGGAAGGTGAATTGAGTTACCCATGTTTGCTTTGTGTGAATCCTTGTTGTGTAGGACTTACCAAACACGTTCAATGTTATGACGATACTTTTACCAAAGGATAAATAGGCAAAAATAGAGAATCTGAGTGATCTTTTTTGCCCATCTCTAATAACCTTTTATTTTTTATTTCTTCTATTCTAGCTATGGTGCTATAACTTTGCTTCTGGTCTCTGGACAGAAGTTGAAACCTCAGGACACATGCCAGAGGAATTGGCGTCAATGTCGATGCTTATTAGTGGCAATACAATATTAGTGTACGGCGGTACTGGTTTCCCATTTGGTCAAGCCAGTAGCAATAATCTGTATGCATTAAATGTCAAAACAAAAGTATGGAGTACAATAAAGTGTTCCGGAGATGCACCTATTCCTACCTATGGTCAGGTAATGTGATTTTCTTCTCATCTGTAACTTTTGATACACATACTGGTACATCTGTAATATAAGGCTATCACTTGTGTCACTAAATGTCACTACAATGAATGATACATGTATCCACCATGATGTTTATAGTTGTTGTTACCTTTTCCATCTCCTTGGGGGGGGGGGGGGGTGAGTGTTATTGAATAAATAAATAAATAAATAAATAAATAAGGTCATGTGACAATACAAGTTTATTACGAGGATACCTCAAAGTATGCCTGAAGACAGTGCAGTGAAAGTATCGACTGGCATTTCCTAATATGGTAGAATGAAAATACCCCATAAAATACCACAAATTACGGCATGCTGTAACTTATGGCGTTACAGTGACAGATGTATAATACTAGTTATTATCACTTTTTTGGTAAATGTACAGTAACTTCTTCAAAAGTTGTTAGTACAAATGTAACAAATAAAAACAACAACAACAATCATAACTATTTTGAACATTAAAATTAAACCACTGTTATGAATAAGCTGGCAGTGGAGAAGTTTAGCACACCTCTGTATTCTGTTGTCTATGCCAATATGTTGAAAGGTTTGTTTTAGCAACTCTATTCTTTGTTTGTGGACAAAATCTCCAGTAGATGTATTGCATTTGGACTCAAGTACACTCAATAATGACTGACATATGGTTGTTCAGGTAAAGTGCACAGAACTTTCTCACAATGTGTTACAACTCATTGAACTCTGCTACAAAACAAGCCCTGTATTTTTCAAAAATAATCCAAAACAAGTTTGTCGTATAAAATGTGTACACAGTATTGAGAATGTTTCTAGTGTTGGCGCAACAGATAATTCTTACATGCTGGTAATTCTTGGTGCTTTGAAATCACTCAAAGTAATTCATTGATTGGACCATTGACAGATAACTCTTTCTATACTATACTACTTCTACTCATAGCTGTATTCAGAGTACATGTAGGGCCCTATAAATGTGCTTTACCTTTCATTATTTTCTGAAAACTAGTATATCAGTTAAATTCGCCCACGCAGCTGAAATGAAGTTTATTTTGAGTTACATTCGTAGATTGAATGTGTGCAATGTATGTAACGTGTTTAGCGTATTAGAACTGTACATGTAATTATAGTTGATTGCATCAGCTGTTTCTTTGAACATACTGAGAGAAAGCAACTGTTCTAACATGTATTCTACAGGATGTATTCAAGGCATAGCTAGTTCATACGTAAATTCTATTATGAATCGTCCTCTGAGTTTTTCTAGACAAATTATTTCGTCTTTGACTCAAGGGATGCAAAGCAGCTTGGTTCATTAGCCCCTATTGTGCGAGGTTATGTATTTAGTTAGAGAATAGTTAATAATTATATCAGTATTGTGAACATATCTCTGTAAACTGTCATAATTAACAGACACATTATTGGAATTTTCAAATTAACCCTCATCTGGTTAAGTCAATGTAAAAGTACTTGGGGCTGGCAGGATAAGGGTTAAAGTGTCCAGTTGACAAATTGAATTCTTTTTGGCAGCTTGAGGAAAACGTAACATCCAACTTTTTTTGTAATAAACCGGAATAGTATCAGCCTCAGGGGCAAACAATGTTTTGAACTTAACGATCGATCAGATACGTTGTTTGTTTGTTTGCTTGATATGATCTATTATGTATAATATATATATATATACAACATTCAGTGACAGTATATTGTTCTTTATACTGGTACATGTACTGTAAGAGTACTTTGTTTTAGCTTGAATTAACTGACATACATTTCTTGTTTGGACAAAGTCCGCAAATAAACACTTATAGAATTATCTGAGTATGTGTGTGTGTGTCCACACCTAAATTCTTGACATGTTTGGACTGATCACATTCACACTTGGCAAATACATCATACATCATGTCACACGATTTGATTTAAGAGAATCAAATGGCTAAATTGTTAAAATTATTGAGAGACCTTCAGACACGTAACTTTGTTTTGCAGTTCTTGTTCAAAATGACCAACTTGTTGTATCTGTTGTATTAGAAATGCACCAAAATTTAGGATTTGTGGAACAAATTTCAGGCTTCTGCACATTTTGGATGATTGAATGGCAGCCATTTTTAGTGCTAACATTCATAAAAAATAAAACATTTTTGCTATTCTAGAACTGGATCTTGATTGTGCATAAACATATTTCATTCAAACTTGGTATGTCTATTGAACATCTTGGTGCAAGTCATTTATTTTTAGATAAGATTCAGTTACCCATTTTAACAAAATGCTATTTCAGGGCCATATCTCTGACATGTCTTGACCGATTTCATTCTACACAAATAATGAACAAATAAACCTATGTGTCAGCCATAATAGATAATTAAGAATGTCTTGTATCAGTCATCACACCACTAGTAAGAACTGTAACACCATTCTACTGATGCAATCTATCATCGTTAACCACACTAACTCAATTGACACATTTAATTAGAACATTCTGCAGTTGCATGGAATTTGCTTGTACACATAACATAATCCACCCTTTTGGGGGATTTCAGGTGTTCAGCTCATAAGAGATCACATTGAATAAAGTACCAACAGGGATTGTGTCTTTTTCAATTTGTTGGCATGCATCTTGGGATATATGTACACATGTATTCCTATGTGAACTTACAATAATAATGTATGTACCAGTGGTTCACCTGTTTACACTGACTTGACCAGTGGTTCACCTGTGTACATTTACACTGACTTGTCCAGTGGTATACCCGTGTACACTTACACTGACTTGTTTAGTGGTATATCTGTGTACATTTACAATGACTTGACCAGTGGTATATCTGTGTACATTTGATATGGAACTTGGCCAATAGCAACAAGTTTTTTTCCTGCCATATTATTGCATATATTTTTATGTACCAAGGAAAATTACATGAATATGATCAACTTGTATAAATGCTTTTGCCAAAGTCCAAATAAAATTAGCCTGGACACTGTTAAAATAAATTGGAAATAAAAAAAAAAGTATTCTATGATACAAAAATTTATGTAACTTATGACTGATAGATAACAAGTGAGAACTGACTGCTATACTTTTGCCAACTTATGTACAAACGTTTCAGAGGTGCAACATAAACCATTTATAAGTGTTTATAGTTATTAGTATGCAGATGAAACACAAGTACTCTGACAGGAAATGCATGATTAGTCATTTGTGTCTCTGTCTCCACTTCTACAGCACTTTCTTGATGTATTCTGATATCGACCTGAGGGACTTGATGAATATTCATGAGGTCATTATCCAATCATTCTATGTAATGCACGACTGGAGTGAAGCAAAGCCTGTTACTACAGAGTGATAGTTTTAATGATTTTGCATTAGATTCTTTGCAGCTTAGATGAGATCATTTGAGTGAACGATGGACAAAATTGTGACACAACTTTTAATTTACACTCATTGACCTAATGTTAATGCCC